CTCAGTGGCATTGATATCATTGCCAAATACACACCGGCTAGAGTAGGGGAAGACTCTCAGTTCATAAATATTGTGAACAGTGCGGAGGAGAACAGAGCAAAATTTTGCAAATTTTTAGATGGTAAGCGGTCTTCAGCGCTCTCTACGGCATGTACATGGTAACACTGAATGAAACTAAGACCGTCCTGAAGGTGAATGCACGGGCAGGGCAAAATACAGCACTGAACATTTTCTCATTTCAATCAACGGCCCAGAATGACAACTTCCAGGCAGAAAAAGGACGCAAGAGGCATGTCTCTGAAGATACCACACAAAGAGTCAAGAAGTATACAAAATCAGTCCTACTGCTCCGAGACACTCAACACCAGTAGCCGCAGGCTCCGCAGAGCAATGGGGAAAACGTTTGGCATCGTGTGCAGCATTATGGGCCATTAGAAGAATTTCAGAAAATAGGTTTATCAGTACAGGCTCCCAGTTCGTCCAGTAATGAAGCTGTAGCCACTGTAGTGTGACAGATAATGACAGAGCTCCGTGAAGCTATGTTAGAAGAAGATAGAATAAAGGTTATTGCAAAAATGATACTTAATGAAACAAAATGTCTGCTGGAGTTTATAGGCCGCTCAAAATCATAGAATTGAATGCAAATGTCATTTAGCGGCAGCGCTATGAGCTCAATGAACAGCTGCAAAATGTTCATATAGATGTGACTTTACTCTCAGAGACACATTTGCTACCCTATGCAATGTTCTTTATTTGAAATTATCACTTATATCGCGCTGACCGCTTCTCAGAAAGAAAAGGCAGAACTGCGGTTGTAGTCAGAAAAGGCACTCACCTTGGCTTTCAGTCCTGCCCTTGTTTGGTTCAGTAGATGCCACAGAAGTTGGCATTCCGTCTGGTAATAGTGAAGTCCTACTTGAAACAGTATATAAGTCGTCAGGCCACGCCTGGACTGGCACAGACATCACAGAGTTCTTAAGATTTAGAAAGAAGTCGCTGCTGGCAGGAGATCTAAATCTTAAACATCCATTTTGGATTTGCGTAGTTTCAAAATCTTCAAGCGCGAAACTATTGAATTTACTGCGTACTCATAAGTTTGAAATTTCAGCACCACAATTTCCCACTCATTACTCTCCTACGGGGAATGGTGACGTGTTCGATGTTGTTGTGCACAAGAATGCTCGGCTGTCAGAAATCATTGTCTCTGATATTCTGCACTCAGATCACTCATTAATCGCTTTCCACTTGTCGGTACTGAACATAGGAAATTTGTTTAAAAATTACTTATCGTATTTAACATAAATATACGTATCTTAAAGATTACAATAGGAGAGTTTCATGGAGGTAGGCCTAGGTCCAAATGAGGGCTGTAGCGCCAATGAAAAAAAAAATTACAATTCTTATTCAAATTGGAAACTTGATGACTAAAAGCAGAGGTCATAGAAACAGTGTTGTACTCGTATATTGTTTTATGCAGTCAAACTGCAGAGAAAAACAATTTGAAATAATTAATTAAACTAACTCCTTGAAATAAAATCATTCTTGAGTAATACCAGCCTCAGATGTAATTCTAAAGTTGGCCACCATTTTTAAAAGATTCCACCTCTGATATCTCTATTCAAGTCATAGCCCTATGTAAGTAAAATTCCCTAACATTTCCTTTTTTAGAGCGAGGAATCATTAGTCTCATCCAATACTCCGTCAGACTAAGGACCAAAACCTGTCCGATTTCAGAGGTTCTGTATTCAATATAATATAAATTTCCCTCTTCATCTCGAGGCCATCTTCTTCGTCCCCAGATGAGGATGAAGGCACTAAAGCGATAGGGGACATACCTATTTAACAAGATTTGATGGAATGAATCTGCAGTGAATGAACATCGAAGAGAATTGGCTACACCCATGCTAACAGCAAGAAAGAAAAATATAAAAATTTGTGTAACGAGACCTGAACCTGTTAAACTCTCTAGTCTTGTCAATTATAGCTTCATTGCAGCTCACATCACCGACAGGAACATGATTCAGTGAGATAGGTACTAAAGTTTTTTCCTTGGCACTACAGCCCCAGTGGGCCTAGGCCTACCTCCATGAACTTCTCCGTTCACTTCGGTTTTTCTCTATCTCACACAATCGGTAGGACCCCTTGGGCGGGTGATCAGCTCGTCGCAAGGCCTCTACCTATACACAAACAGAGATAAACGCACAAAAACACACACTAAATATCCATGCCCTGAGTGGGATTCGAACCCACGATCCCGGCTTCCGAGCGATCGAAGACAGTTCATGTTTTAGACCGCTCGGCTACTGTGACTGGCACTAAAGTTTAGGACGTATAATTTAGGTAGAACACTAAAACCTGTAAGGCAGGAACTACAAATCACATCAGATTGTGGCGCAGTAACGCCAGTTCCTCCGTATGTCACTAGGATTGAACATGTAGGGAATATGGGGAGACACTCTTCTCCATAGCCCACCATACAAGTCTTAACAGAGCATTGAGCCGGTAACGTAGTTAGCTACATCTACCGACAATTTGCATCAATTTAGTGCGTAATTTCATTACGGTCATCATTACTCTGCATTTTAAAATGTGTGTAATGCTGATAAAGAGTGCAAAGTCATATTTCATGTTTCGCTGAATCATACAGGATTATGGTGATAAAAATGAACTTGAAACAGAAAATCTCTCGTATCAACCGCTTTTTTTACAGGGACTGTAAACAGAATCAGTGTCTGCGAGAGATAATGCTTGTATATCAAGGTTTTAGCGTAGGTCGGTCGCTGGCGGCCAACCTCAAATGCTGCGCAGTTTGTGACTGCATGTGCTTAAGAAATGTAACAGCGCTATGGCCATAACACAAGTTAGACCGGATTAGCTGTATTACCTCAAGATCTGAAGAAATACCAGGATCAAAGTCGTTGCTTGTCATAAGGAATATCTGGAAATTTATTCCATATCTTGGTAAATTATTGTTTCCCTACGTCACTAGGTTGTGCTGTCAAAATGAAGGAAAAATCATCCATTCGTATATGCAATTGGCCAACGGTCAAATATTGTCGGAAATTAATATCGGAAAAATTAACACTAAAACTCTAAAGCCAATAAAATTCTGATTACTGTCTGCAAAAATAAACCTTTTTTGGGTGAGTCTGAAATTGAAAATTAATATTCAAGAACTTTTTTTACGAAATAAATATGAACGATACATCTCTGATGTAGATCATTTGCGACTTTGCGAATTTGGTATCAATTTAACAGGTAATATATGGCTCTATGTTGTGATTCATTTCATGTGATTGGCTTTAAAGTATATATTTTTAGTTTAATAAATGAACATCATAAGTGAAATCGTGCGAAAAAAGTTGAAGTAACGTTCCCACTGTTCTTAGATGTATTTAAGCAATAAATTTCCTTTAATTGAAGATGTTCTGTGACATACTGGTCGTACATCTGCAAACTTATATCGAGCAAAAATAATGCCTAATAAACGATAGGTGGATTCGATACGGTTATCCAGTTAAGCTCCAGCGGAGAGAGCTGGAACTGCTGTAACTCGACGAAGTTCTGCTTATGCACTCTCAATTACTGTGCTGTGTTTCAGCGCCGTCGTAGTCAATATGCCTAACACACGTGTTGAATACGCAGACACGCATTTTGTGTACGGTTTCTGCGATGGAAGTGGTAGGGTTGCTGTGGCGCGTATCTGCAGAAATGTCCACACCACGAAACATTTGAGAATGTATAGGGAACACTGAGGGAGACTGGTTCCTTCCTACGAGCGAATACACAACGTGAACATGGCTTGGAGAAGATGTTCTGGCAGCAATGGGGCGAAGCCCAAGTACACGTTTAGGCAGAAATTCCAGAAGGACTGGTGTAGAACAGGCATATGTACGGAGAATTTTCACCATGAAGTTTTCTATCCGTGTCATCCCCAACGAATAAAACATTTCTTCCAGGCAGTAAAGCTAACCGCGTGAGATATTATAAATTGTTCTAACCATGGCTACACATTCCATATGATGTCCTGTTAACGGACGAGATTCAATTTACCGGGGAGCGTAGAACCGTCACAAAGAATTTGCCCTTTTGATTACATGAGAATCAACATGAAGTAGGATAATTTCACTAGCAGCACAGAATTTTTATTAATGTGTTGTGTGGATTATTAGGCAATAACCTGATTGGACCTCACGCTATTGAGCCATGTTCAACCTGATGGCATCTGTGCCGTCCTTCCTTGTTTACGTAACTCAATCATTCTCATATACCACTTGATTTCACCTTCCTCCAGTTGGTTAGGAAGGAAACGCTTCGTCCATGTATTGAGGGTTGGAACCTAGTCTTTCTTTTGCCATCTGCTAACGGGGAAGATTTGTGTAAAATTTTGTTTAGGCTGCGCCCTCCAAATTCTTCTTCTATTCTCGCACTGGCCTCTTAGGGCGATTGACCGCCGTGTTGGGAACGCTGCAGCAAAGTACAGAAACATAGCATCTGTCGAAGAATGTGAACGAGATACGAAAAAAACAGGCTAACATTTTAGGAACTGTTTATCATGTGTGAATTGTAAGGACTTTCATGTTTCAACAAGAATTCGACCACCTACCAGCTTTAACTGCACCGTACTCTGTCATGTTAGTACTTCATAAATTGAAAACCAAATTTACATTGTCAATGATGTTTCTTTTGTGAGTGCCGCCTACCTTCATAAACTTCACGATGTCACAGTAAGTACAACTTCAGAAGCTGGCGGGATCATATCTGACAAAAATGGCTGTCGCATATTAGAGCAGTATGAAGACAGTGTGGTTTCTATTGACATGGTGCTCGTGCTAGTTGCATTAAAATTGAAAATTATTCGAATAAGGATACAATGATACAAAACTTATGTTTTTCCAATAAACATCTATTCATAACACCGGAAACTAATAATTTTTAATCTGATTTCATTGTGCTTAATTTCCTTGTTATTTTAAAAAACAACTTGGTTTAAATTTAAGGTGATCTTTATCGACTAACAGAAGAAAGCTACCACAGAGATCTCTACGAAATGTATGGGAAAATCATGAAGATAACTGGAATCCCGGGGGTTAAAAACATGGTGATGGTCTTCGATCCTGACGTCATTGAAAAGGTAAGTGTTCACAAGTGACGCATTCTTGGTCTGCATTTAGCTTCGTGCTGACGGAGTGCGCAAATGTGTTTTATGGTTCTTGCATTCTTTCAAATTCTTAAGGGGGAAAAAATCCCCTAGTGCACCACAGAGCATTCGAAGAAATTTATTTGATGCCCCCCCCCCAAATATTTTAGGGACCTCGTAATGTATTTTAACTGGGATAAACTATCTCAAGAAGCACTTACAATGAATTTAATTTAGTGGAGTTTATCTGGTCTTTCCTACGGTATTTTTCCACAATTTCACAAGGTCCTTTCTGTGATACACTGTCAAATAAAAAAACATTAGCCTCTAGGCTGCAGCCGACCGCCGACGTACAGTTGCCACGACCGTCACTCGAGCGTTACAAGGCTAGTTCACAGCACCACCTAATGGCAGTTTTTGCGACCAGTGATTTGCAGTATTAGTCTGGTTTTATCATTATCAGTTTGTGATTGCTCCCGCAACCAACCAATGAGTGTATTAGCACTGTTACAAAAGACATGTTATAATAACACATGGCATTATCGGTTGCAATTTTTTTAAAGTCATGGGAGTCTTGATAACTTCAGTCCATTCTTACGATATGTCAGCATTACGTTGCTGTTTACTCAACATAACTGGGATATCATCTGCTCCAATGAACAAAAACACAATCGGAATCAATGAACGGAAGGAAAAATTTTGTTTCACCTGTGTCCAAGTGAATGTTTTTCCATGCCACAGTTTCAGCAAAAAAAAAAAGCACAATGTTGAGAGATATTCTGAAATTAGTCACAAAGATTCTGATACAAAATTTCATCTCGGTTCTGATATTAGGTAGAAAATGTTGCGTGGCGTAAACTTGAACTCTCCTTTCAAAAGTCTCTCTTTACTAGGCCCAATAAACATTCGAAAAAGCGAACTTTCAAATTCACTCAATTCGTTTAAAACAAAATACATCATTTTAGGACCGAGAACTAATGAGGGAGACCATGTTGTCTCCATCAGGTTATCTCTTTGAATATTCTGGAAACAGAGCAGAAAATGTGCCATCATTTACAGAAGACAATAACGAGAAGGACAGAACATAAGCCTAAAGATGAACTGACGAATGGCCTAAAAACATGTAACTTCCTCTCCCCACACTCTGATGACTCTACATATGTGGTTCATACTCTTCAGTTGGCAGTAATGAATAGAGTGGTGTTCAGTGATAATTCGACCAACGAAGAACTTCATATGGGTTTGGCTTTAAAAGGCAAAATGGGATGTGGATATATTTATATATCTTGCAGGATTATGCGTCAGATACCAATCTACGGCTCCAGAAAATTTTGCCCATAAGAATTATTTGAGCTTCTGAATCGGTAGGTAGCAGTAGCGTAGCTATGCTACAAGCCGGAAGGTCACGGGTTCAAGTCCCGATGAGGTTATTGGATTTTTTCAATTGACCTAACCCTTCCAACCGCACTATGGCCCTGAGGTTCACTCAGCCTCTAACAGAAATGAGTACCAGGAATTAATTAAATAATCTTCCTGGGGAGTAAAGCGCGGCCGGTGCGTAGGGACCGCCATCTTTGAGCCGATTGTCTAAATATTGTGGGAGCCTCAACGTCTCACAACCCTATGGGCCTTCACGGCCTGTTACAGGGATAGCTTTACTTACTTTTACATACCGGATGCTCTCAGGCTCTATAATCATTGTTAATGTATATTTGACGATAGAGACGGAAACAGTATCCGAAACGTCGAATACTACGTGCGTATTCATACCCTTGATAGGCTAAGTAGACGCTGTTGCACACACTCGCCGATAAAGTTCCTAAGAACGTTTCCTTCTGCTGTTTGTCTGAAGGTGGGTGGTGACAGTATGTGGGAGAACGGTGGCAGAGGGAGCTATTGAGCAATTGTATTATCACGTGTATTCATGACTAGTAAACGAGATTTGGGTTCATGTATCAATTTATCGGATATTCACTAGCCATAACTACAAATATTTATAACACTTTCAAAGTTGCTCTAATAATAACGCATAAGTAAATCCTTCTATATATGCATTAACTAGTCGTTGCTAGGTAACAGATTTATAAAACGGCTATTCATCTGCAAAATTTCTCTATCCGTTTCCTGACAACTGATTATTACACAGGAACTATAACTGACACGCTCCAGCTACCCCTGACCTAGAGCACATATGAAGTATTCAAATCACAGGTTAAGTCTTCACAGGACGACTTCTAATTCATTTTTGAACTACGAAATTCCCGTCTCTAGGTTCTACCGACCATTAACTATCTACTGCTTCAGTTATCCTGGGAATCTCGGATAGAAAACTTCTTTATTAAAGACAATTGCGTAACCTAGCAACTAGTCACAGAGCGTATCTTATAACAATGGATTCCCTATTGTTTTCACGTTCTTAAGTGGGAAGTTGTTTACTGGCCGTAGCAAAGAAACGGCAGTTCTTCCACTGTTGCCTGTATTCGTTGCCGCGAGAATGATTACGGACATTACTGTTATAGAAACGGCACATGTGTCACAATATCACCAACCGTCATTGTTCAGTCAGACAGTACAGGTTAATGAAACATTCTCAACAGCTACCATTCACTGTTTCTGTGCTCAGGTGTACAGAAATGAAGGACCGTGGCCGATCAGAGACACAGCAACAAGTTTGGCCTATTATCGACTGATTACAAGAAAAGATTTCTTCCAAGGTGTTGGAGGCGTAGCTATAACGTAAGTAGAATATCACATTGTTGCCATACTACGTGATAATTCCATCTTAATGAAACAGCTCTCTCTGCTCCTAACAAATTATTCAATCACGTACTGATTTAGAATAATTTTTTTTTTCCATTTAAAAGCCGGCCACGGTAGCCGAGCAGACTAAGGCCTGTACTCGCTCGGAAGCCGGAATCCTGGGCTCGAATCCCACACAAGGCACAGATGTTTGGTATGTGTATGTGTTTATTCTGTGTTTTGTGTTGTCCTGTGTTTAGTAGAGGCTCTGCGATGAGCTGATCACTCGATCAAGGAGTCCTACCCTTTGTAAAATGATTATGAAAATGAAAATCATAAGCCAGAGCCCAAAGGGAATGTAGAGCCAGTAAAAAAAAAAATCAATTTAAAACTGTTCACACTTCATTACCTATCCACTTACATGCTCTCCAGTTCTTCAGAAGTTAATAATTGCCCTGGCAGGTAACATTGTGTGTTTTTGGCACTTGGAAGTTACTTTCCACGTTCAAATGTAGGCTATTGGTTCCAATACTTAGCCCGTTTCAAAATCCAAATAATCCCGTCCTCTTCCTTTTTGTCATATAATATAACTTCTTACTCCCATATAAATTATGGTCTGATCGCCTCTATGGTCTAGTGGTCAGAGTTCCTGGCTACAGATTCAGAGGTCCGGGTTCAATTCACAGCGCTACAAGATTTTCTGTGAAGCAGTGGGTCTGGAACGGTGTCCACTTAGCCTCGTGATTATAACTGAGGAACTATTTCTAGGAAATAGAGGCTCCGGTCTAGAAAACCGAGATTAACAGGCGTGGCCATTCGTTGCGCTGACCACGCAACATCCTCTATCCTCTAAAGATGGCACTAAGTTCGCCGACAAACGGCGGTCGCTCCTTCAGTTTAGTTCGCTTGCGGACTACAGGCCACGGAGTTTGTTTCTTTGTTTATATATTTAGGTCTTCCGTGTGGATCACCTTTGTACAATTCCGCATTTGTACATACGCCGGGAGTGGGCGGCGATTTCTTTGGAATACTGAATCCATATCCAAAGGCCATTTTGCCCATTCAGAACCTAAGGATGCTCCATGACTTCTTGTCTACACAACCACATATTACTGGGCTTATAGTTCACAGTCAGATAATGTGAATGGGGGGGTATAATACGAGGATGGAGAAAAATAAGTATTAAGGAGCTCTGTAATTTAAACTTCTCAAAAAATATTTCAGATTGATCGCCTGAATAAGGATACGAGATGCTAAATATGTAGCATGAATGATGAAGATGAGATTCATGAGAAATATCAGCCCGGAAAACTTAAGGGAAAGAAAAATTGGGAAACCCAGACGTATATATGATGATAATATTCTAACCGGATTTTATCTCCGCAAGAAAAATATGTCACAAATGGAGGTAAAACAACTGTCATGGACTAATAGGTTTTCTACGTGGCCCACTAGGTAGCAACACATTCCAGCTTCATAACAGTCTAGGTAGCAGACGCGCATGCGCACGTTCAGAGGCTGGTTCTATTAGTCAAAATGGCTACTGTTAAGGATGTACTACAGAAGAGCGAATTTTTGTTGGGCGCTTTGTGAGTAGAAGGCCTAAATACAAAGGATATTCATAAAGATGTTTCCTGTTTACGGTGGGAAACGTTTGTCCGTAAAGTGGTTCACAACTGGATCGAGAATTCTCTCAGGAACGTTCTGCAGATGGTGCCTAACCAGTTGCGGAAGTGACTGACACAAGTTAAATGACGTCTGTGTTGCGGCTCTCGACGCATTGGTAAAGCTGTGGGAAAGGAATGTTAATGTCGGTGGAGGATGTGTTGAGAAATAAATGTTATTTCCAGGTTCGAATATCACGTGTTTCATGTTTCATATATATCTGCGACGTATTTACTAAGTCTCTTTCGTGTGTGTGCATATATATATTATATGATTATGAATCATATGAGGGTTACTCACATATATCCATAGCTTATAGTTGATTAAGTATTAAATAGATATATTTAAGACTATTTTTATGGTATTACTCATTTCCTAGTTAATGTGTGTATATCAAATTTGCCAGGTTCCTGAGTTGCACGCTGTATCCAGCATGAATTATTGAGACAATGAGGTATTTCACTTCTCTCTGTAAGCTCTCCTGCTCACATATTCTGCACATACGGCCATAATTGTCCTAACTGTGGCAACAGGATTTAAATATGTTACACCAGCTACGTTTTATTTCAGTCAAGGAGAAATATGGCAGAAGTTCAGGTCGAAAGTGAATCCCACTATGATGCAGCCCAGGTCAACTAAACTCTATGTGGCACCCATCGATTCCGTTGCCAACGATTTCTTGAAGAGGTAAATTATATAATTTTATACACACGCTAGGCTTACTTGCACATACACCCATGTAATCTTTCTCTTTACAGATAACAGTAAGGAAAGATAGTAGAAAAGCATGTGACTACCCTCTTTCAATATCACACCACGGAGTTAATAGCGAATATCCACAGATATTATGAAATGTACACTCTCATTCTTTGCATATAGAGCAGCCACAAATATTTATACACGTATAATATTACAGTAGAGCCTTTGGATGTTGCCTGCGTACTTGTGCCAAATGTCTTTTGTTTACACTAGTAAACTCCACTCGCTTAAACCTGGTGTTATTCCTTTATTTATATTTCAGCCATTATGCTGAGACTGAAAGCAACTATATCCCACGAGGAGAGGCGCCAATATTACCCGTTCTATTTGATACTGATTTGGATAATAGTGTCTGCAAAATACGCACAAATGTTCATCACACCTCTTCCTAAAGAGTGTCCTCTTCATTACAGAATCAGACTGATAAGAGACGAAAACTTGGAAATGCCTGATGATTTCGCCAACGAACTCTGCAAATGGGGATTAGAGTGTAAGTATCCGTAAAGAGTAATGTAACACGAGATTCATAAGCTTATAGAAAATTTTACCACAGAAGATATTGTGCGGGAGGGGCTGCTCGGCCGTGGCCGTGACTCTAATTTTCTGCATTCAGGCAGCTCAAATTTAGCTGTAAATATTATATATTCTATGAAGAATATTTTTCTTTTTATTTCCAGACATTATAATTGTATAATTCCCTCCAAAAAATATTTACTCTTATTTATGAGAGCTCCTCTGTAGTTCCCACAAAAATGAAAGACCTACGTGAGGTTTGGGTACGTTCTGTAGCCTTGCGAATGTTAATCTTCTTTGTCCAATTAAATTTTACATAATTTTATATTACATTACGTTTTTAGCGATAAGGGTTTTCTCGGTGTCATGCACTTGGGGTGTTAGTGGTCAAGGAAGTATCTCACCCCGACTGGATTTGATATGAAAACTATTCGTTATAAAGGAAAAGAAACCCTCTTTGTTTTAAATGTGAAATTTGACTTCCCGACAACTGAAGAATGCTGAATAATAGTCCAGTGTCAGAGTCCGGCCCTGAACCCGAATCAAATGTTAGGCTCTCTTGGGCCTCGACATGGAGGGTTAACTGGGTGTAAGTCTTAGTTGGATGGAAGAGGGAATTTTGGTCCCCGAGCCTCGAACTTGGAGGTTGTCATTAGGAAGTCTGTGGGAAAGCTGCGGACTTGATACGAAGTTTTAATGTAGTGCAGAAATAATTTCAAAGCTGTGTAAAGATTAGGAATTAAAAGGGCATTTATTATATAAATTAGAAAGGCGTACAATTCTTATTACCCAGTTCAAGAGGAATTTTCCCGTCTCTGTTCACAAAAGCAACCAATATCCCCCGGGGAAAACTTCATAACAACGGACTAGTAGCTCCGTACTTCGCGTCTGAAAATACTGATGAATACAAGAAATGCTGGAGCGGACACACAGGTGAATCCCGGAGATTGGGGTTGTGCTCAAGTTGGTGAAACGTTTGTGAAAAGGTCGTGGTGTTCTCCTCAGCACCCTGACTGTATGTTCTTCCTTAATGCGAGACCCTTATTTCCAAAACCATATAAATGAATAATATAAACGACAGTAATATATATCTTAATGTTTGTGTTATTAGGTTGCTGGTGGACGAGAAAGCAGAAGTTCAGAATTGAATGGTAGCAAGCATTACTCGAATTTCTTCATGATTCTGATTTGGCACTATCTTTCCCAAATATTTAAAATTTGCATATTCTGAAAGGCTCCACAACCTGCGTTTGTGTTAACATTTTCCCCTGCATTCTGGTGACAAGTTACCAATTTATTATCAGTTCTTTTTGCGTTTACTTCTAGACTAACTCACTTACCGGCCTCAATTATTACTTCCATGTTTTCTTTATGGTAGCTTTGTTAACTCCCAACGAATTTACGTCATTTATATAGACCACAAGGCTAAGCAATTGAACTAAATTTCATTAACAGGCGATTTTCTTTGTCCTTCATAAAGGAACTCGAGAAAATGGCTATGAACTCCTTCCTCTACCGGAAATACAGAGTGTTAATAAATATACGTTAACAATGCTCTGCGGTAGATAGATGGGTTCAGTCTGATCAGATTTTGTTAATACACCCATGTCCGGAAAGGCTTTGTTTACGCGCTAGGGCCTCTGAAATGTGAAGAAGAACGGCCCTACCTCTTACCTCTGTGGTTTACTGGTGATATTTACCTAACACTTCCCCAAGAGACCTTACCCAAGCTGCTGGAAGTGGTGTCTTTGGAAGTCCGTCGTGAAATGTGGTTCCAGCATGATGGCGCCCCAGCACACTGCACTAATGTCGTCTGTAAGTATTTAGATGAAACCTTTGGCAACAGATGGATTGGACGTGGAGGCCCAGTAGCCTGACCCTCGCTCCTCCGACTTGACTCCATTGAATTCTTTTTCTGGGGGTACATGCAAAGACTGGTATACGAGACTCCAATGCAGACACAACATGATCTTGTGGCAAGAATTGCAGTAGCAGCTGGAACCAACCGAGAAATGCCGGGAACACGACCAGGCGGTGCAGAACATGCAATGAAGTTCTCTGCCGCCATTTTGAACAACTTTTATAATGTAAAACAACGATAATATCTCCTAAAACTTATGAATCGTATTGGATAATTCTGTGGCCCTTAGTCCAACAGGAAGCGTTTCCGGACATTGGTGTATTAACAAAATATGATGAGATAGAACCCATCTATCTACCACAGATCGTTGTAACATATTTATGTATACCCAGTATATGAGACAAATATTTAGCTACATGGATTGTATTGTCTCAGTCAAACGTATATTAATGAGCCTTGCTAGTTCCATATTCATGCCAGACTCAATAAGAATACTGAATAAGACTTCCCTCATAGAGAATTGGAGACTTTCTAGAAGTCTATAAATAGATGAACCGAGTATCGTTCTATTTACATTTCCTTTCCAGTATCTCGAGAATGCAACAACTCTCATAGGCAATTAATATCTTGTGTGAAAGTCCAAATTAGTTATCCCAAAAATTTCATCATTGTATGGAGCTAATCTTGAGAGAAAACATTGGATATTATTTTTGTTAAGTTTATAGAAATGATATGACTTGATAAACTACATTCAGTAGCTTCATTCCTTTAGATAGGTACAACTGATCCCTTCCACTCCTGAGACAGTCCTTGCTTTTCTAAATAAAGTTAAGGCCGCGCTATAGCTCAAGCGGTTAGTCGCTGGCTTCCCAACGCGGAGACCCGGGTTCGATCCCGGGTCTCGTCAAGTGGGATTTGGGGTGGACAATATGGCGCTGGGGAAGGTTTTCTCCGAGTACTTCGGTTTCCCATGTCATTCTTCAGTCCACCAATTGCTCCACAGTCACCCTCACCTATCGTCTGGGGCTGGTACAATAGGCCAGAAGTGGCCGCAATACAAGGGACTTAGTCCCACCTCACTAGCAATAAAAAAATAGTGTTAAAGTTTTTATGGACCTCGGGAAGTTTTATTTCACATCCTGCTCTAATAAGTTCTGCCGAAATATTGTCAATATCTGGGAAAATGTTCCTTTTAACTTGTTAACCAGCAATTTCAATCGCGAAACAGTTGGTCTCAGGGAATGATACTTCAGCAATATGCATTCTATCTGCCTAACATAATTATTCAATATAAATTTCAGAATTGAGAGAAGGAATTCTTCGAGCTATTAAAAATGTTATGAGTATCTTCTAGCAAATTACCCTTGTCAACATTTACCAAGTTATTCCGTATTTCAGCGTCCTGTTGCAATTGTTTAACTTAACGTCCATGTATTTATCGTCCGTCAGTATTGCTTTGGTAACCCTGACTGTATTGTACCTATTTTGTTTTTCAGGAATATTGTTGTCTAGACGGCCCCCATTATGCATATTATATATCCTATATATGACACACAACAGGATGCATACTATTTTTTTTCCTTGGCACTACAGCCCCAGTGGGCCAGGGCCTACCTCCATGAACTTCTCCGTTCACTTCGATTTTTCTAGATCTTACACATTCGGTAGGACTCCTTGGGCAGGTGATCAGCTCGTCGCAAGGCCTCTACCTGTACACAAACACAGAAAAACGCGCACACACAGCAGACCACATTGTCGCTAAATGGTTCACGTACATCCACGGCACTTTCGTGGTTTGGCCACAGAAGCGAGCAACAAGTTTTTGTCACATCAACAAACTTAACAACACCATAAACTCGAGAATGGAAATACAAGTTAATAATACTCTGCATCTCTTGGACGTCTTGATCATGAAAATGGGCATTACGTTAGTCACGAAAGTATACAGGAAACCTAATCATACCCGAAATAACCTTCATTTCAAGTCCAACCACCCACATCGTGTGAAAAGAAGAGTTGTTCATAGCTTGTCATATTTCAGAGTCGGAATCATTTCAAGCATAGAAATTAAGAATATAAGACATTACCTGATGCTTACTCAATATCCACGAGTGTTCGTTAATTTCATAAAGAAGCCAGGGAGAAGCAACCGTCCCTCAAATACAATACTTCATGACATGATCATTATCCCATACGCTGGGCTATTTCCGAAAATTTCAGACTCATTGAAAACCGTTTCAATGTCAGGACAATTTTCAGAACAAAACATACACTCCCCAGGGTACTAATGAAGACTGTACCGGTTAGAGGTATCCAGCAGACGAATCAGCGTGTGTACAGTTTTCTATGTGATTGTAGAAGATGTTATATCAGAGAAATGAGCAAATATTTAAAGGAGCAGAAATATAACTTGACCCAACGTCTTCACAAGTCCAAATTCTCACACCCCAATACGTTTTTATTACATTATCGCATTTTTTACTGCTGGTGGGGTGGGACTAAGTCCCTTGTACTGCGGCCACTTCTGGCCTATTGTACCAGCCCCAGATGCTAGGTGAGCGTGATTGTGGAGCAATTAGTGGAATGAAGATTAGCAGGGGAAATCGAAGTACTCGGACAAAACCTACACAAGCGCCACTTTGTCCACCACAAATTCCACATGACCAGAATCGGGATCGAACCCGGGCCTCGGCGGTGGGACTCCAGCGACTAACTGCTTGAGCTATAGCACGGCCTTTATCACGTCTTAAAATTACCCATTTGCGTCTGTGGTAATAAACTGCGCAAGTATAATCTTAAGAGTATTATTATCTTTATCTGAATTATTTGGCCGATCACAGTGGCCGCGCGGTCTAAGGCATGAGCTGTCTTCGTCCGCTCGAACACTGGGATCGTGGGTTCACATCCCACTCGAGGCATGTTTGTGTTATTCTGTGTTCAGGTGGCGGCCTTGCCACGGGCTAATACACATTCCAAGTTTCCTTTCCGATTGGAAAAGAGGCCGAGGTCCCCAAGAGGTGTACAGCCACAGACGGATGGATGGATGGATGCGTAAAATTTTACTTCATACCGAACATTAAACTCATTGTAACTGTATTATATTTCTGTATGTTCTGACAGCCATTGTGTATATTGCTCTGGACACGCGCCTGGGCTGCCTGGATGCAGATCTTGCACCGGACTCAGAGCCTCAAAAGATGATTGACTGTGTCTCTGTAGTATTCGACTGTTTGCACGTAATGGAATCTAAGATCCCTATGTGGAAATATGTGAGCACACCAACATGGAGGAAGTTCCTCAAAGCTTCGGATATGATGACTGAGTATGTATGAAATTAAAAATAAACTCATTACATATCAGGCATTATTTTCAGATTTGAGTACCACAATGTATTCGACTCAAACTTTGTTAAATATTTTTCTGACGGAGATTGTGGGGAATGCCTTTGACGGAGACAGAGATCTCCAATATATAGGACTTATGACCCGATTTGACGTAGCACCTGGCCGGAAACGAGTTTAATATATTCAGCCGGCATGAAACTTTAGTTCTTGTAAGTGCAACATACATTCTAAAACATTTTTGTGCGTAGCTTTTTTGCTAAACTTGGATGTCGAAGAAGTCGTAAGCTTTATCTTTCATCTTCATTTTATCACCTTTAATTTCTTCTATAATTTCGCCGCCCAGTATTCCCCCCTCGTCACTCCAAATAATGGTAAAGTTTATTTGTGCCTACTCAAAAAACGGAACGGATGAGTGGCCCTAAACTTCACAGGTAGAAGATCTTAAAATATCAAAAAAGTAAAACCAACTGAATAATTTTAGTGAGACGAAATTCAGTTTGGTGCATGTGAACATTCTGAAGACATAACCGAGCATGGAGTTCATATATTGAAGAGACAGAATTGTTGTTGGTGAAGAAACATGACATTTCCTACCAAGCGGCAGCTGTTTCTACGTCACTCTTGAAACGAATACTGCTGAATTAATACTTATATTTTGGAGATATTAGAGAGAATTTCCTGATGGAGTGAATTCCAGATTTAAGAATAACTAAAATTTTGTAAAGCCTTTCCCGTTACGTCGAGTCAGAATATGTTTATCCATACTTTGTTATATATTATATATATTTTTTTTCCTTGGCACTACAGCCCAAGTGGACCTAGGCCTACCTCCATGAACTTCTCCGTTCACTTCGGTTTTTCTAGATCTTACACATTCGGTAGGACTCGTTGGGCGGGGGATCAGCTCGTCGCCAGGCCTCTACCTGTATACAGACACAGAAAAACGCACACAAACACCCATGCCCTGAGTGGGATTCGAACCCACGATCTCGGCTTCCGAGCGAGCTAGGACAGTGCATGCCTTAGGCCGCTCGGCTACCGTGACCGGCGATATTATGTATATAATACGTAAATATTTTTCAGACAGACGTTGTAGCTCTTAATAAAGCATGTAGTTTACAAAATGAAATTTTGGTTTGCAGAGCGCTTCTGAGACAATCAAGTAAGAACTGGTTGAGTTTCAATTAATATAGAGATCGATAGAAACAAAAATTAAATTATCTTGACGCTTTTTTGCAGGTCTCAAATGTAAAAATATTGTTTAATTCAGCTAAGACATTTCGGAGTTATAATATTCGGAGTGACTTACATAGTTTGATGCAAAGTATAACCATAACATATTCCTAGATACGGGAAAGTTAGTAAATGGATCACAAATCGATATAAAGCGAAAGGTGTGTGATATACGAACTTGGAAAAGCATTATTCCTCCACATATCCTCCACCGACATTGATCCCCTTTCCAATTGCTTTACCACTGCATCGAACCCCGTAGCATAGAAGTTTTTAGACTGTTGTCTCAGCCACTTCCGCACCATCGTTTCAATCTCTTCGCCATCAGCAAAACATTTGCCACCAACGTGGTTTTATAGCGGATAAAACAGATAGAAGTCACTACGGATCAAATCTGGCCTGTAAGGCGGATATTCAATAAGTTCCCACTGTAGTTCTTGAATTCTCTTCTGGATTACTCGGGCTGTATGGGGTCTTTCCAGGCCACTTCGAATTACATCCCGAAGTTCAACAGAACTTCACACTACGAAGCAGAATACACGTTTTCACCACGCTTATGAAAATGTGCTAACACTACTCCCTGAGAATTCCAAAATACTGTAAGCATAACCTTCCCAGCTGATTGCGTAACCTTAAACGTTTTGGTTGAAGGGGTTGACGGTAAACTGGGATGTTTCCACTGCGCTGAAGCATGTTTTGACTCGGGTTGATTGTGATGCAACCGTGATCTGTCCCAAGTAACAATTATGTTACTTATAAGCCTACCTTCTTCTTCATCTTCACACAATAAGAGATGTTGCAAGGACGAAGCCATTCGGTTCATTTCATTTTCCTCACTTCTTCAGTTCTCTGGCCACCCCCGTGTGTACACTTTCCGGAACTTCACACTATCATGCATTATGCTGTATGCTAAACCGTGGGCCCACCCTAGTTTAGCTACTACACTGTCTATCTTTGTCTTTCTATCAGCTCGAATGAACCCTTCCACCCGCTACGCAGTTGTTTCTGTCGTAATCTGAATAGGGCTACATAATCGCATCATCTCCGACTTTCGAATATTTTTGGGAGAAATTATCGACCTTGTTGTGAACAGCTCTAAGCGACAAAGACTTCTCATCGAATACAGGAAACATTTCTTTATTAACAATCTCTGCATTGAGTCCTTCCGTCCATAAAAACGCACAATAGAACGCTACTCTTCGATAGTACACTCCTCAAGCACGGTCTCCATTTTGACTACTGAAACCAACCTGTAAACATGCCCATGCACGCTTTCTATCCAGACTGTCATGAAGCTTGACTGTGCTGCTACCTAGTATTACATAATAGATCATTAAAAATAGCAGTGCGGGGGCCGGTTTTTAGGGCTCACCCCTTATATACATAGTATTACATAGAGAAAAGCTATTACATCCATTAAAGCTGTGTTACTTCAATTTGTGGCCTCTTTAGTGACTCTCCCTAGTAAGTTGATATCTTTGTAGGTTGATTATTATTTTGGTAAAGCATGAGGTCTGCACATTAGCAGAGTAACAGACAGCCCATAGATGAGATCTATGATCACGTATTAGAAATCAGCTCCTGATTGCCATCCAAATTTTGGGTCAGCATTCGGATAAGGCACGCTTCCAGTCATTTGCTTTTATTATTTTTCATTATTCATTTTAAACGCACTCTGTGTATGTCGTATGATGCGTAGGACAAATGGCTGATTATGGAGATGAATTAGAAAGGAGAAAAGAAGTTAATATGGACTAACTTTAGAATCACCTCAGATATTGTTAGAAATTCTTCCTGGGAACTTTGAAAATTTCTACGCTTAAAAATGATACATGAAGACAAACAGGCGAACTCATATATTTCTGAAACTGAAGAAACGCGTATACAATACACCATAAATTGGTTAATCAGTGTTGAAAAGCTGCTGCTGCGGTGGTTGCAATCTTCCACTGATTTTATCCCCAAACTTCGCAAACATATTGCCTTACTTTGTGGCTAAACTGCTAGCATTTCTACGCTGTATCATGGAGGTTCCACGTTAATTTCTCGGCCGATAGGCCTGTCATACCCATTGAGAGTTTCCACAACCTCAAGGAAAACAGAGAGATCAGTAATTCAAATTAGGCTAATGTTTTTCCAATTTGTTTTTTTTTTAGTAATCTTCAGATGAAACGAAGCTATATTGTGTTTAGGGGTAGATAAATTGATCAATCAAGAACATTATAATTGTTTGAAGTAGGTGTTAGACATTCATTAAACAGCATGCAACGTTGGCATAGAAGAAGCATTAACTTAAACGAAAGTCGATAATGCTGCTATTTCAGGAACACAAATATAGGAAATGAACCCTGAATACGGAAAATGCTGTCTTCTAGAATAACCCAGTGGAGTATGGCAGAAACTTACAATGTTTAGGAGGAATTTAATTACTCTTTTAATCTACCTGGGTCGGTCACGGTAGCCGAGCGGTCTAAGGCATGTACTGTCTTCGCTCGCTCGGAAGCCGGGATCGTGGGTTCGAATCGCACTCAGGGCATGGATGTTTGTGTGCGTTTTTCTATGTTTATATACAGGTAGAGGCCTTGCGACGAGCTGATCACCGGCCCAAGGAGTCCTACCGAATGTGTAAGATCTAGAAAAACCGAAGTGAACGGAGAAGTTCATGGAGGTAGGCCTAGGCCCACTGGGGCTGTAGTGCCAAGGGGAAAAAATATCTACTTGGTCGAAGGGTACGTCAAGAAGCAACTAACTCCGAGAGGCAGTATCTTCATAGCCTTGCTGCGTGACCTTCAGACCTCACGATCCACGACAACTGCGTACTGAGTATCATGGATGACCTGTCAAAATCAGCTTCTGTTAAGCCGCTATTCTTCCAACAGGTTCTGTATGAAACACATCAACCAGGCTATGGAGCGGCTCAAGGCCATGCCAGAGGACCCTGACAGGGAACTGACTGTCTTGGAGAAGTTGTTGATAACAGACCCCGATCCCAAGACCGCGATAGTCATGGCACTGGACATGATGGGGGCCGGTGTTGATACGGTAACTAAATTCATACAGAGTCCCTTGAGAGGAGCTCAGAGTTCTTTTCTTGATAAAGAAATTCCCTATATTCTATTGAAATTAAATATATTTGCAGGTCCCCAAGAGAACCCGCCAATTAACTGTATCCAGTGTCAACTGAGTAAGGTACTGATTCTCCAACCCTATTTATGTGATGCCAATTTAATGCCTGTTTCCTTTCCATATTTTCCTGAGACTCCTGAGTGGAATCCTCCTTTCAAAATTTCCGATTTTAAATATTGGTGTATACTACTCTCATTTCTCCGATGTATACTGTATTTTTTTTTTAATTCGCTTAGTGGGAGGTGGAGTCCAACTGGGTCCACTCGGCACTACGGCCATTGATTGACCTATTGTAGCCTACCTCGGGTGATTATGATGGAGAATTTGATGGAATAAAGAGTGGCAGGGGAAACCGAAGTACTCGGAGAAAACCCGCCCCAGCGCCACTTTGTCCACCACAAATCCCACTTGGGAATCCAGCGACTAACCTCTTGCGCTATGGCGCGGCCATGTATCCTGTAACTGCAGCCCTTATTCTCTTATTTCAGTTTATTATCCCAAACAAATTTCTTCGTAACAAAACCAGAAAGTTTCTTACCCTTCAGTGTCATTTCACTTTCTCCATTTTGGGTTCAACTATCCTCCTCAGCACTCGCCATGTGCACAGTATCGCCTGTCGATGTGGTCAGAGAACTAGGCTGGAGAACTGTGAAAGCCAGCTGAAGTAACCATCAGTCGTGGAGCGGAAGCCGGAGGCCCACTGTCGTTCATAAAGAGACTTTGCTTGGTGACGATTGTGAAATAAGACCATGCACTCATCGTTACAATTTAATTTCACTCATATTTTATAGTAATATAATTCAAAGATGCATGGTCGTTATTACCTACTTCGGTATATTTTATTTCAGACTTCCTACTCCACCGCTGTAGCTGTATATTACTTGGCGCAGAATCCTGAGAAGCAGCAGAAACTGTTCCAAGAAATACTGCGCTACCTTCCTGACAAGGATCAGCCAGTTACTTCGGAAATCCTGACTGAGCTCAAGTACCTGAAGGCGTGCATCAAGGAATCCATGAGGTACCAATCCAAATTAACTAGTTGGCCCTATTTAATCGGTGCAACAAACCGCCAATCAATTAAGTACATAGTTTGGCAATCAACAAATACACTGTCTAATGAGCCAATTAAATAACAAAGCTACAAGAAAACGCTAACAGGTCTTCAACACAATGCAATAAATACGAGAATGTTTGTCTTTTGAGACATTTGATCTTTATGCAAAGTAAAAAATAAGGTTTTATGAAGAAGCTACACCCCTCCGCCTGTGCACCACCTAGTATCACCGCACAAACCGTAGCGTATATTTGTATAAATTCGACATTAGAGACTTTCATTAAAGGTTCTGCGAATTCAGATTTTCGGTAACATTAATCAATAACATTACATAAGGCCATAAATGATCTTTTGCATATTTTACTTAAAGCATCGATGGAATTTTGGTGAAACTGGAAAAGCGACATACCCAGATGGTCACTATTAATTTTAACCGAAAGTTCAGCGGCCATATGTACATCGAAATAGTAGAAGCATCTGCTGTTCTCAAGCAGTCAGTGGGGTCAGGCTGTGCGGAAGGTGGCACTAATGTAGACAGAGGCAGGCGTAACGTGTAGCAGAAGAGCAGGTGAAACTGAAAAGGCTTGAGAGGAGGGAGTGACACTTTGTTGCGGTGAGAGAATCGTTTTCTTAAAAGGTTCCAGGCTTCCTCGGTTGGTCTTTCTGATAAAGTAAAATTGAAGCTATCCCTGTAACAGGCCGTGAAGGCCCATAGGGTTGTGAGACGTTGAGGGTCCCACATTATCTAGACAGTCGGCTCAAAGATGGCGGTAAGGATGTCAGCCTTAGGCGCCGGCCGCGCTTTACTTTCCAGGTAAATTATTTAATTAATTCCTGGTACTCATTTCTGTTAAAGGCTGAGTCGACCCCAGGGCCATAGTGCGGCTGGAAGGATTAAGTCAATTGAAAAAATCCAATGACCTCATCGGGACTTGAACCCACGACCTTCCGACTTGTAGCATAGTGCCTCAACCACTACGCTACCGCGTGCCCCGGTCTTTCTGATAAGGCTAGAGGAAATCTGAAGACTTTAGTTTTGTCAGAAGCAGTGGCTTGAGGTCATCAATAACGTAGGGCAAATTGGTGGGGGGCTGGAGGGTAGGAAGGTATAGCATTAGAAGAACTTACGATACGAGGGTAATTAGCTTTGAAAGAGACGGTGGTTGGTTTGGTTGTTGTCCTTCGGGATCAGGGGCCAATCCTCCTTATGATGGTGTTCCAGGTGTTTCCTGATCTGGAATGGGATTTGTGGTAAGTATATTTTGTGAATGTGCTGACGGGCCGAAACAGGTTCACGGCCATATCTCTTACCATCCCTAATGTTACCTAATTAATCAACCATATTACTGAGTAACAGGTACGATTATTTCCTGAATAGATAATATTTATTCTCTTGGTCAAGATATTCGTTCAGGGAGTTCAACCAACTAATAAAATTCGACTTTGCATTGAGTCCCGAGTCAGTGCAATCTACTCTAAAATTTATTGTTTCACACACACACACACATATATATATATATATTTCTTTTAATAATATCTTCAGCAAATTATTTCCAAAACCATTAAGCTGGTGTTCTGGTTTTATGAGAGACGGTAAGTGACAGCTCTACCAAGGAGCTGATGGAATGATACGTATAAATCCTTTCTATTTTCTTAGGCATGACACAGGAGGACAAGAGAGAGTAGAGGCGGGAGAGAAAACAGACGCAACAAAAGTCAGCCTCGTGAGCATAATTGAGGAGCTATTTCAACGAAATGGCGGTTCCGGTCTAGAAAACCGAGCTTAATGTGGTTGGGGATCCGTTGCGCTGACTACGCGCCACCCTCTATCCGAAAAGTTGGCACTAACTTCGCCGACAAGCGGCGGTGTCTCGGTTGTTTAGTTCGCTTGCGGACTAAAGGCCACGGAGTTTTTCATTTTTATGTTTATGTTCTTAGGAGTAATGATAGCTCAGTGGGTATAGGTACGGGCTACGGACTCGAAAGCCCGGGTTCGATTGCACGCAGTGCAAATTTTCTCTGTTCTCTACAACTTCCAGCCCGATCCTGGGGCCCAACAAACCTGGTATCCAATGAATAATGGGGTAATTTTAACTGGGGTTAAAGCGGCAGGGGAGTGAAGGTGACCATCCACCTCCATCTAGTACTAAGGTCAAGAAAGGTGGAGCTATACCTTACTCCCCCATATGTCTTCATGGCAAAGTGCTTAGCTACTTATGGTCAGGGATAATTTTACTTTCTTTTTAATATTTACGTTTAAGTGCGTGACAGGAATGAGAAGAGGGCAACTCTGAAAGACAACACAGCAAATAGAAGCAGTGTAGAAACACACTATTACACGTAGAACTGCACCGTCTACATGCTCAGAAGTAGAACTTACGTTTTCTAGTGTGGAAGAAACTTTATAACTAATAATCCATGAGGAAAATAGGCAATACAGATACGAGCATTAAAAATAATGATCATGATGATGATGAAGTAGATGATGATAATAATAATAATACAGTGCGTACAATCAAGTGCGCGCCGCGGCTGCAATTTGCCGTGAGTCATACCACCGCAGAACGGATGCAGTCGCGGGGAGGAGTTGCAACTCCTCCCTGCGACTGCATCCGTTCTGCGGTGGTATGACTCACGGCAAATTGCAGCCGCGGCGCGCACTTGATTGTACGCACTGTAGTAGAAACAATAACTACAAGCGATATGTTTTAATTGTTGCAGATTGTCCCCACTTTTTGTCGCAAATCAAAGAGAAACCGTTAAAGATATGGTTTTGGCTGATTATCAAATACCAAAAGGAGTAAGTATTTAGAAAGTATTTAGAATCGGTTTTCTGGCATGTGACACCGTATTGTTTGGTCGTGACATTCTGTAAGATAGAACTCTAAATGCTCACAGCTGCAAGAATCTTACTTCCCACCTGCGGAATGCCTTCACACAAGCTCTGTTTCTCCAGACGCAGACAGACGGACACCTGTCGGATACTAAACCACCATTATCTGGTTGATGTACACAGCACAATCACATACACACACAAAGTTTAGCTACCCTTTCTATTTTATTTGCGTCATATTTGATGTCAGATACGTTGTTCAACGAAAATTTAATAACTAATTTGAATTCAGAATATTTCCTTTAAATAATTAACATTACAAAAAAGAAATCAGTGAAACATTAACTGATATGAGAAATAATCAGTTTCTTGTGGTGGTGCCAAGAAATGTTTATGTTTTTTTGGGATGTGAAACCGTGTAGTCTGATGGATATTTACCGACATGTCGGAGGAACATGTTGCCGAAATTTCTGGATCGAACCTGCAGAGTAGGGCATGGGATTCCTCCGAAACTGAGGAACTACTTTACTATATACTTGTACGAGTATTACATGACGTCATGTAACTGACGAGAGAAATCTTGTGAGATTTGAGGTTTTCACGGCGCTGACTATGAAAAATGCCATTTTCTGGGATGTGACATCTTGTAGATCCTGTGTTAACCGACGTATCGGAGGAAGATATCGCCTCCATCTTCAGGGTATTTCTTATATCTTGAAGATGGAGGCAATACGATCCTCTGAAATGTTTGTTAACACAAATCTACACGGCGTCACATGCTAGAAGACGGCATTCTTCTTGAGAGTAATCTTCATTACTGTTAAGTAATAAACCATAATTTCGGTATTTTATCAGGACTCCCCTACAGAACGGAGGTGTATATGAAATAATTCATCGGCGTAGGGAAAGCTTACTGAATTTCGTGGTCCACTGTAGCGTCATCTACGGTATATTTTTAAAATTTTCCGTAGACGAGCGTTTATTATAAACAACATAATTTCACCAATAATTCAAATATTTCTGTCATTCTTTCTCTTCACCATATGTTTCGGCCACAGACAGCCAGTATCAAGTGTTTCAGCTTTGCCGAAACTGAAATGTCCATTTTTTCACAATACATATACAAATGCGATATTCCATAATCTAAATAAAATGGATGTTAAATTCGATTACATAGCTAGTAGTGGATTAGTCTGGCTCAGGATGGGACCGGTGGAGGGGGGCTCTTGTGAACACGGTGATGAACCTTCGGGTTCCATGGAATGCTGAGAAATTCTTGATAAGCTGCAGATTTGGCGGCTCCTCAAGAAGGGCTCAGCATCATAAGTAATTAATTAAGTAACTTTTTTTAATTCGCTTAGTAGGGGGTGGAGTCCAACTGGTTCCACTCGGCACAGCGGCCACTGATTGGCCTATTGTACCTACCCCGGGTGATTATGATGATGGAGAATTTGCTGGAATGAAGATTGGCAGGGGAAACCGAAGTACTCGGAGAAAACCCGCTCCAGCGCCAATTTGTCCACCACAAATCCCACTTGACCAGACCCGGGATTGAACCCAGACTGCCGCGATGGGATGCCAGCGACTAACCGCTTGAGCTATGGCGCGGCCAAGTAGTGAATTAAGTAAGTAAGTAAGTAAGTAAGTACCGGTCACGGTAGCCGAGCGGTCTAAGGCATGTACTGTCTTCGCTCGCTTGGAAACCGGGATCGTGGTTCGAATCCCACTCAGGGCATGGATGTTTAGTTTGTGTGTGTGCGTCTGTCTGTGTTTGTGTACAGGTAGAGGCCTTGCGACGAGCTGATCACCCGCCCAAGGAGTCCTACCGAATGTGTAAGACCTAGAAAACCCGAAGTGAACGGAGAAGTTCATGGAGGTAGGCCTAGGCCCACTGGGGCTGTAGTGCCGAGGGGAAAAAAAGTAAGTACACGTAAGTGTATATTCTATACAGACATCACTTACATTAACTTATTAACTCTTTCTTGTTCATTCTAAGTCTTGATACACCAACAAAACAACACCGCATAGAACAAACATAAGAACAGGCCTTACACCATGACCCTACCAGTGACAGATAAAGAGAATAGATTACATTTGCGTTTATTTTTAGTACACATGAACTCGGGACTTAACCTTCAGTCTCACATGGTTATCTTCAGTTTGCGAGTGATAATGGATCTTACAGTATTTCAGTTCACAAACAAAACTGATACATTACCAGATGCTGATCACGTTGTTTACTGAAGCATGTTGAAAATATGTTTACTCGAGAATGCAAGTAGAGTTTTTATAAAAATCATGCTGTTTGGGATAAATCGAAATGTTGCGTAGTATCACTGAAAAATAAACAATTGTTTAATCTTTATATATTTCCCCACCTTTCCAATATTTCGACCAAATTTTCTCCATGAAAAAGACGTGGCGAGGTCGCTCTTAAACGCTTGAAAATGCGGTATGTGCACGCGCATACAAACCCGAAATGTCCATTTCCACGAAATAGGGATATTTTATTCCATCGAACAACAATTTTATTGCGAAGAAAATGTAACGGGAGTTAACCTCATATATTAATTTTGTAGAGAACATTTCTGAGAAGAGAAATATTTCAAATTCTTGCTTATAAAATACATCATTTTGGACCACCTCTGTGTTCTACTTGTTCCTGACTACAAATTTTGAGGTCCCGCGTTCGATTCCCGGCGCTACCAGATTTTCTGAGTAGTGGGTCTGAAACGGGGTACACTCAGCCTCGTGAGGATAATTGAGGAGCTATTTCAAGGAAATAGCGGCTCCGGTCTAGAAAACCGAGATTAATGACCATGGGGATCCGTTGGGCTGACACGTGACACTCTCTATACGCAAAATTTTGCACTAACTTCGCCGACAAGCGGTGGTCACTCGTTCGATATAGTTCGACTACGGACTACAGGCCACGGAGTTCTCTTTGTTTTTGTACATTATTTCTAGGCAACACCGGAAAATCTTATAGTTCACATACAGCATAATTTTCTTAAATTTTATTAAATGACGCTGTCATTATGCAGACAAGCGTCGTTGCGTGTACAGTTCGTCCGACTTTTGCTTCACTATTTAAGGCAGAGGCGCAACACGTTTTCTCGCTTCATCAGTCACTTGGTTGCAAAACAACGTGAAAAATAACTTATAAACAGATCGCTCTTCCTCTCTAAAAGCAGAGTAACGGTTGCCTAGCAACAATATCAGGGCCGGAGGTAAGGAAAATATTTAACTAATGAATTTCTATGTAAATCCATACAAATCACACTATATACAATTCATTCATATAAATGTGTAGATAATTCTCTGTGAAGTAATTAATGTTATTAGCTTTCGGCAAGTTATCCATGGTCGTCATGCTGGTATTATTAACCAGAAAAAGGTTAAATTTAAGCTACAATTATGGGATAAATTTGAAGAGTATGATAATCATAACAAATTGAATGGGAACCGTTGATTATTCGCCCTTACTTACAGCTTCTGTATTATTCCTTTATAAACCTCTGCTTACTGAACGAAGCTTTCTGCAGGATAGATTACGTAGAATCGAATGGTTGAATGAAAGGAATAATTTATTGGAAATTGTTTTATCGTGGCCTATTTCGAGATAAGAGGCAGGCATTTGCTTGGAGGAGCTGAGGTGGGGCAGAGATTTGGATGAGACACACCCAGAACACAAGCCATTCCTACCTAGCTTTCTCGCTGATGTCCATATACGTATAAAAGGCTGACTATATAAAGCTTTGTAAGATTTGAGGTTTTCACGGCTGTGACTATTAAGAAAGCAGTCATCTGGGATGTGGCACCGTGTAGATGTGGTGTTAACCAACGTTTCGGAGGGACGTATCGCCTCCATTTTCAGGGTAGAAGGAAAAATAAGAAATCCGCAAGCGAAGAGACCGTGAGAACTGGTACAAGCAGTCTGCCGGTTCTCACGGTGTCTTCGCTTGCGGATTTCTTATTTTTACTTCTACCCTGAAGATGGAGGCGATACAATCCTCCGAAACGTCGGTTAACACCACATCTACACGGTGCCACATCCCAGAAAACTGCTTTCTTTATATAAAGGTTATTTACCAATACGACCATCTGCTCTTGCAGACCAGCATCTTTATGCCCTTCACGATGTTGGGTCACATGGAGCAGTATTGCCCAGAAGCGAATAAATTCATCCCAGAGCGGTGGCTGAAGACTGAGCAGGAGCACAGCAAGAGGGCGCACCCTTTCGTGACAATGCCTTTCGGCTTCGGACCAAGAATGTGCGTTGGCCGAAGGTTTGCTGACCTGGAGATGGAAACATTAGTGGCGAAGGTATGTTGACATGCGCAGTTGTCCGGTACCTTCAGAAACACTTCCTTTTTGTCTACGAACGTGAAATTTGCGCTTTCAGTCCAAGGGAGAACAGAGTTTGAGAATTCTTCAGAAGAAATCCCCAGGGAGCTCGTAGATTGAATACAGAGACCGTAACAAAAGGCCAGACATATTACATTAATAAGTATGAGGTGGGCAAGGCATATAGCACGAATCGGGGAGAAGAGGAATGCATATAGGACATTGGTGGAAAAGCCAGAAGGAAAGAGACCACTGGAAAGACCAAGGCATACGTGGGTGGACAATATTAATATAGATCTTAGAGTCTGGGATGAGATGGATTGGAGTGATATGGTTCAGGATAGGGACCAGTGGAGGGCTCTTGTGAACACGGTAATGAACCTTCGGTTTCCATAAAATGCTGGGAAATTCTTGAGTAGTAGAAAATTTGGCTTTTCATCAAGACGGGCTCAGCTCCGTAAGTATGTAAGTATACTACATTAATGATCAGCTTCATAATTTATACTATCCACGAAAATTATTAAGGGGAAAACGCAGAATAGTAGACATGAGCAGGGCATTGTACAATAATTTAAATTCATACAACAATTTTATTATAAAACAAAACAGCAGTATTGGGTTGCAGTATATTCTAATGTATGGGATAAGACAATATTAAAATGGACCTCAAGAGAAGTATGTTTGATTACACAGAGTGGATTTAGCTGCCCCAGTTTAGGGTTCAGTATAGAGCTGATGTAATAATCCGTGCGGGTTCCAGAAGAATAAAAACTTCTTTATCTTCCTTGCGCCTATTAGGTGGACATATGAATACTGAATGCTTAATCATAATATGATTATCAGCTGGTCAAAGTACAGTTCGTCATAACATATTTGGTGTTAATTTCACTTCGTTGGCCTGGGCCTCTTGTGAGTGTCGATAGAGTGAAGATGTTTGCAGTTCTCTTTTCGGTTGGTGTCTCCAGTGCATTCGTAGTGTGTCATGTTGTGGTTTTATGAGTGTGTGGGGTTATGAATGGTGCTTTAAAGGCACCATTGTAATCGGTAGGGTTATGTACACCGTATATAATTAATTATATGGAATGTAGCGTATATAACCCATTACCATTCCATGGTAACTTGTTTGCTATATTACGTATGTGCGTGTAAGCTTGACTGAAGTTGAAGAAAGTCGTCTTCTGGGTTTAGGCACCGTGTATTCTTCGTTTTGGCCGACGTTTCGGAGGAACGTATCGCCTCCATCTTCAGAGCAGTTGAATGGCTTGGAATGCGGAGAGCAGTAGCTGTGGTGATAGGATGTGAAAGATGCTGCTTATATACGAAGTAGGCAGGGGGGGTGGTTAGGGAGAACGGACCAATGGGAGCAGTGGGGAGCGATTAAGACCATATATGGTGTGTGTTGATTAAGGGTGGGGGGAGAGCACCTTTCACATCCTATCACCACAGCTACTGCTCTCCGCATTCCAAGCCATTCAACTGCTCTGAAGATGGAGGCGATACGTTCCTCCGAAACGTCGGCCAAAACGAAGAATACACGGTGCCTAAACCCAGAAGACGACTTTCTTCATTGTCATCGCCGTGAAAACCTCAAAACTTACATTGACTGAAGTTGTTTCCAGTTTTGTTGTTAGACTTCAACTCCAAAAAGAAAAACTACGTGGCCTGTAGTCCGCAAGCGAACTATACTGACCGAGCGACCGCTGTTTGTTTGCGAACTTAGTGCCAATTTTTGCGGATAGAGGATGTCACGTGGTCAGCGCAACGGATTCCCACGGCCGTTAATCTCTGTTTTCTAGACCGGAGCCGATACTTCCTTCAAATAGCTCTTCGATTAACCTCGTAAGGCTGAGTGTACCCCCTTCCAAACTCACTACTTCTCAGATAATCAGGTAGCGCCGGGATTCGAACTAGGGACCTCTGGTTTTGTAGCCAAGAACTCTGACCACTAGACACAGAGGCGATCGTTAGACTTTAACTAAACCATTAAACTAGTGACAACACCAAAATACACTCTGAACTGATTTTCGTAAATGAGTTAAACTCCATATTTTCTTTTTCAGATTATCCGTAACTTCAAAGTTGAATACAATTATGATATGAAGTTCGGGAATAAACTGCTGCATGTACCTGTGTCACCACTGAAGTTCAAAATGAGTGAGAGGGTGTGAGTTCTGTAAAGGGTCCAGCTGATTTTTCCATGTGAACTCTGAGAGAGGTGGAAAATTCCAATGCCGTGGAAAAAAATCATCTGCGGTAAACAGAGAAAAATTAAACCAATTCACTCGTGACGTCGACTGCGACAGAGTTTATAAGGAGGAAGGTTGCTTCAGTAATATAAGCTGTGGCAGCTAGAGTTGAAAGATGTAAGTTTTATTCAGAAATATAAAACTAAATATTTATCTGGTGAAAATGTGCGATTCATTGCTTTTACTTCATCGATACACATGGAGAGATAGTCTTTATTTGTAATTATGTTCATCCAAAGTTAAATTGAAGAAATCACAAATTTGTACTAAATACTAATTTGTAAGTATCCCAGGTAGGGCCGTGCCATAGCTGAGGCGTTAGTCACCGGCTTCCCACAACGGAGGCCCGGGTTTTTGGTAAACAAAATGGCGCTGGGGAAGTTTTCACCGAGTACTTCGGTTTCCCCTGTCAATTCTCAATTCACCAACTGCTTCACACTCATCATCATCTATCATCCAGGGCTGGTAGAATAGGCTAAACAGTGGCAGAAATATCAAATGGACTCAATCTCACCTCACCCATAGAAACTAACACAACTTATTCCTGGCAGGATGTTGTATACAGAAGAGTGTACCAGGGTTTTGTTTGTTACCAATAAAATTCTAAGGTTGGCAGCGCTTGCGCGGTGGACAACATGGCGGTAAACTCTTGTGTTATTGGTTCGACAGCTAATGCGTAATTATCAGCATTATTAACGAAAGTACGGAATTCCTCTGAGAGTGGTTCGCGATCTTCTTAAAGCAAACTGTACGGAAATAAAGACACTTTATATTTATTAATAATACATTTTGAATACTGATGGACGGAGTGGGGGTATGCGACATCACTCGCGAGATCACAGATTTCACGAGACCCACACTTCCCGCTACGCCATCCACGTTACAATATGTTCCCACTGAAGAGTATTCTAATATGTAAGATTTTTTCGGCACCGTATAGTTATCTTTTGGAGCTGTAAAATTTGCAGATCATTGAAAGTACTGTGCATCGTCGCCTGGTAACAAGACAAGAACGGAAGAACTGATTGTGATTCATACGCAAAGTGGGTCGCATTTAGACGTATCCGGAGGTCCAAGGGCACCGTCCAATGTTGAAATATGTAAATTTTATGCACGTTTGAAATATTTTCGAGAAACGAATTTGTGGGGGTCGCGACCATATATCTCTTCTCACCATGTAAACCTTCGATTGCAATTCATTATAAAATTTCGGTTAAGAGTAGCAAAGTGTGTAGCAAATTCAGCTATTGGCCATATGCGTTATATATTGCGGCATATTTGCTCAAGGCAAGTGCCAGCCAGCGAGGGCAGGAGTCGTTGGACACCGAAGCCGAGGTCGATGCACTGTTGGAAGCCGCTACCAAGCAGCGCAGTGATGGCCGTTGCTGATAGCACAAGCCTGTGCGTGATAGTGATTTGTAAACTTCAGTCACGAAATGTGTGTTCAAGGGTTCAATAAATCCGATTACCAATCCAAAAGCGTCTATAATCACACTCTATCACGTGACAACATAATTCACATTTCACAGTACGATATAATCTAACTTCATTAATGTACTAAAATAAGGCACCCTTATGAAACTGATATATGAAATTATGTATAAAACTTATTACACTCTTTCTAATTTTTAACATTATGTGACATGGAGAATATTTAGCATGAAGCAGGGAAAATAATTCGAAACCCAGAAGTTTCATATCTGTAAGGCGTGAGTAGTCTTGCATCAACAGATTGCAAACCTACACATTTCCGTGACACATTTTATTTCATGGTATGGTCCTTAAAACCTGCCATCACTGGTTACGTGCTGAAACACTGATGAGAATGGAATTAATTTTTGGGGAAATTTAGAGATCAGACCATATAATAAGGAAGGGTAGTGTCCTGTGTGTGTCTGCAATACATTAACGCTAATTTAAAGTTCATAAAGCGAACCAAGATGTTGGTACGGCCGTAAAGTGATCTGATCCGAACGACGTTACAAGGTATCTCATACTGATGCCAATAACCCTTCCTCCTAGCCAGAAGTCACATACTGCTGCCACAGCAAAGCATTTATTGCTTAAGAAGCCCGAAAACCGCTGAACTGCTAGGAAGAAATCCTGATATCAACCGGATAAATATAAAAATAATACGAAGTCTATAGAGCCAGAAGCTGTTGCTTCCAGTCTAATATCCTAAATTCCTATATTAAGTTGTAGCTCTTGGACTCATGAACTTCTCATTTATAATCTTAATACTCGTAGTATGCATCCTGTTGTGTATTATGAACAAGGTATAAAAAGTACACAGTCTACACAACAATATTCTGTATTTAAAACAAAGACTAGTATCAATTTACGCCTGATGATGACCCCGTATAGTGGTCGAAACCATCATTGAGAGCCACAGTTTTCGCTTCATATTTTGAGTGGTTACCAAGCAACAAAACAGTTACCTACACAAACAGCTCTTCCTCTACAAAATCCGGCACAAGTTGCCTAGCGACAACACCACAGTAGGGAAAATGGAAAACACTTCGCGGCAGGAGAAAGGATGTCGTCCATCAGGAGCTACTGGTGGCGGTTTCTCTTCTCCTTCCGATCGCCTGCGAATTCATGGTACATGACGCAATCCGCTCTGGACGTTGCGTTGCGCTGCATGTTATGTGTAGCGAATGGGACTTCATTCCTTCGCTCAACGCAGATGGTTAACTGTTCAAGCAAGAATGATTTGGTACGACCATGCCAGAA